TGAAGCAGCAGGACCTGAGCGTGAGCCAAAGGTCAGTTTATCACCAGAACGCATGAAGACAGGTGTTCACGAAAATCGGACGCATAAAGCCGTGCGCGCGATCGAGCTAACCTTTCCTAAATACTAAATCAGAGTGCAGCTGCTGGTCCACCCTGTCGCCTCCATCAATACTTATGTAAATTAGTAGAAATACCTGGAAGGATGCCACCATGGGAAGCAATAACCATGGCAACGTCCTTGTTCGAAGCAGTAGAAGTAAATATAATAATAATAATTATATATTTTATTTAAAAGGTGCTTAGAGGACACATAATGTGACCTTACAAAAATACAGAAAACTTCTGTAACAAACTTCTGTATGACCCTTTCTTCTTGATCGCACTCTAAAAAATAAGAGTAAAAATAAAATTTTGCATGATTCTAAACATTTTTTACAGGCAAAAAACTGAAAAGTGTGGGAGTGCAACCAGGTGCCTTCAGAAGTTGCCTGGTGAACGCTGTAATCGCAGCAGCAGGGTATCGACTCAGGAGGGGATGAATAGTTTTGCAAGCCGCCGGCATGAGACTCACTGAATAAGTTAAAGTTGTTTTCACAAGCTGGTAAAACAAAGAACGTTTTTAGTCAACTCAGCTCTGCTTTTCTGCATCTGATCGGTATCGGCCCACGCTGGACCTCAGATATCGGTGTCGGGAGTGAAGAAAGCGGATCGGTGCGTCGCCAGCGACAGAGACCTGGGTCCAGCTGCTGTGAGCGGTTCTTCAACGATGCTCCGCCTCTTCCCTGCAGCTGATAGAAACACTTCATTTCAGGCCTTTTCGCGTCTCAAAATACCGTGATTGAAAGTGAAGGCCCAGATAAATCCCAGAGCAGAGCCAAATGACTTTCTCGAGGAGAATAAATGGGATCATTTTGTGTTTTCTAATTATTTGTGTCTGGCTCTGAGAAAGTCACCGTGACTGTCTGACAGGGAGAAAAGCTCCTGGCTGGAATGAGCTGATTCTCCCCTAAACTTCACACTAAAAGCCTTTGGGGTTGGTTTAGGTGGAAAATAGCTGCCATGGTTTCACACTTTTATAATTGTGCTTCTAAAATCACAGTCAGCTTTTTGATGCCACTGGCTGTTTGCAATGAAACCAGCTAATGCATTTTTCTAACATCAACATGTAAACAACATGGAAACATTAAAAGAGCGGAGAACTGATACAGTGATTGTTTGTTTGGATAAAAAATGAGATCAATAAAATGTTCAGTTGCAGAATTTGAAGGGAAACCTGCCACTAATTGACTTCTGGGTAGGATAGATTTAGAGATATTTTTTTTTATCTTAAATGCAAAAAGTTTATATTTTTTAACAGTTTTGGTTTTATTACTGCTCTCAAAGTGTCGTTCTTTCAGTAAATGGGCTTTTTTAAAATCTCTCTTCTTGATTTAACAATTGATAGTTGAAGTCGTCCAGTGATCTCTGTCTATTTTTGCTGGGATAACTTGTAATCCAAAGCTCTTTATTCCAACTTTCAACTTAATAAAGGTAAAAAAAGAAAAAAAAAAACTGATGCAAGTTAGAGCGGACCGTTTCAGGAACATCCAGATCTTCATCACCCTTTTTTCTTCTTCTTTCCGTCCAGCGATCACCGTCTCTTTCTTTCTCTTTTGCTATCTCTATCTCTGAATCCTCATCCATCTCTTCCAGTGTAATTAACTCAGACTCTGCGTTGCTTCCAGCCCAGTCCTCCCTGCCGCCCTGGCTGAGCTGCTGGAGCTGCAGGAAGCCGGATGCATCTCCTCCTCTGCTGCCAAGCAGGTCAGTGTGCTGCGGCCCCCCATCCCCTCTGCCTCCCGCAGGTTTCTTCCTGTGTGTGTTCTCATCCTCACCTGTCGGCGCCCCCTGCTGCTCCCTTTTCTCTCCAGGTGTTCCAGGAGATGTGGAGGTCACCAGGGAAGGCTGCTCTGCAGATCATCCAGGAGCGGGACTTGGGGCTCGTTAGCGACGCCGCCGACCTTCACCGAATCTGCAAGAAGGTCGTAGACTCGCATCCAGACGAGGTCAGCGTGCGCTCGCATCTCTGAATCTCTCATCATATAACGTCATCAGACATGAGGATTTTGTTTTCAGTATTTTTTTTTACATTTATTTTGATAGTTCTCTGGCTTTTGATGGGAAACCCAGAACTGTTTTTCAAAAATGGCTGGACAATAAATCAGTCAGATATATCGCGATTGACAAGTGATCAATATCAGTAGATAAAATGTTTGATAGTTTAATATTTTCACTGACGTTCAATACAGAACCGCAAAGCATTCTGGGGGATGTAAGCAGAGGGAAGGCTTCGCCACTGAGCTCCTTCAGACTAGCCAGCAGCAATTAGCAAACACCTGCTGAGCTCATTATTGGAGCTACTTCTCAGTGCAACGCTGGTAAAAACGTTAAAGGTTTGTTTCATAGAGGAGTCATGCTGTGATGACTTCCTGAAGGCGGAGTTTCAGAAAGAGCAGGAGCTTCTTAAAGCGACAGAGACCCAAATTCAAAGCTCTAAATTACGAATTCTATTTTATTTTAAGACATACTTGATACATACACAGTATTTTTAAAACAACTAGAGGTAACACAGTTGATTCATTGTGCTATAAAATGATTCTGTGTGGTTAGAAAACACATGATACTGTCCCTTTAAAACTCCAGGGAGTCGTCTGCCTGCTCTAAGTACTTTGAGTTGTTGCATGTCTGACAACAGGTGTACCCAATAAAGTGTCAGCCTGCTGTCTGCCTGTGAACAGTTTCTACACAAAACTGAAGGTTGACTTTTGGACTGAGTGAACTGTTTGATCGTTTCGTAGCTCTCATAAGTTGCTGAGTCGTGTGACATCAGATGTCGCGTTTGTGTTCACAGGTTCGAGCCGTCAGGAGTGGAAACCAGAAAGTTCTGAATAAGCTGATGGGTCTGGTTCAGAAGGAAACCAAAGGCAGAGCCGACCCGGTGCTGGTCAGGGAAATCCTCCAAGAGAAGACTTCATGACATCATCATTTTTGTCACTGACTCTGAGCCAATCAGACTCTGTGAATTCAGCTTGCAGTTAAACAGTAAAACCCACTTCCTGCTGGGTAAAATGCTAAAGCTTCATTGTGTTTGTAATGACAGTATTGTTTTTATAAATAGGATGTGAATGTTAATAAATCAATAAAGTTTCTATATGTTATATTTCTGTCTGTGGTGTTTTTGATTTAAGTCGAACCTAGTTTTTGTTCTCACAGAGTTCCATCGGATCAGAAACTTTCATCTCAACTTCTAGTTTACTGAGGCTGAAGGAGGTTCACCCCATGCTGCAGCAGCCTGAGCACTGAGCGCCCTCCTGTGGTTGAAGGATGTCATTATTTGTCAAACACTTGCACAAATCTTGTTAAATATTCATTTTCCCTGACATGAAGCTCTGAGTGGTTCCGCGGTTGATTTATATTTCATGTAAACATAGTCCATCAGCCGCTGCAGGCAGCTGGAGTCTGTCAACTGCTTCTGGGACAAGATCACAAAAATAAAAGGTGTGTGTTACCTTCCCTGCAGATGTCAGGATGTAGTTTTTAATAAATATACGCTGTGAAAAGTATTTGCCCCCTCGACCAGATTTCTTCTGTTTTTGTTTTTCTGACACGATTAAATGCTTTCAGTTCATCAAGCAAATTTTTGTGTAACTTTTTTTTTTTTCAGAAAGTCCTCAGTAATAAAACTAAAATCTCAGTTAAAACAAGAAATATACACAATCATATGTTTATAATATATCATGTACGTTTTACATAAGCGCTTAAAAAGTACAGTTATACAGTTGTCTTTGCCAGGTTGTACACAAACAAATTCAGTCATCTTTATTCTTTGAATGAATGATCTGACAGAAACGGTTCCTGGATCTTAGACGTCCACTAGGGGCCAAAACTGCAGGAGCCAGTTAGACAAATTATACACATATGTTACTATGATCATCTAGCTTCTAATCTTTTATTTTAAAACCTCCCAGGGTTTTAAAATGACATGTATAAAATATGTACTGAAGTTGTGAAATTACAAATGTTCTCAACTCTTAAAGTATTAATCTATTCAGAACATGGTGCACACAGTCATATTCAATAAATCCTTTGTCAGATTAAAAGTATCTTTTGAAAATATCAGGTATTACACATACTTATTATGACGTTCACATTTCTGTTTGTAGAAGTAATTGTTTCTTTATTGGTCTGATGTGATATAATTTACATGTGTTTTAATTAACCTTGAGTAGAAAATATATAACAGCAATAAACGCTTCCAAACATCTCTCTGAAAATGTCTGCAAGAAATACAATTTAATGATAATAAAAATGGTTGTATATACCATATAAAACACAAACTTTAAATTAAGACCAAGAATGAAGCTAATCACATGATATATTGATGAGGTTTGAGTAATTTAACCTTCATGAGTCAAATTATGAAATTTCTTCTCCACAGGGTTCTTCCAAATCAATATTTTCCCCAAATGATCAACTTCTGGTTTATTTTCAAGCTTTTTGGAGCAGTTTGGGATCTCAAGATGTTACTGTTAACGACTAAAACCAAGAAAAACATCAACAATAAGCATTTATCTTAAAACCCCTGTGGTGGTCTTAGCACAACGCTCAGGAGGAGTGTGGCAGATAACACGGTCGGACAGCAGGGAAGCCTGTCAGTTCACAAAACCAAAAAAAATAATAAAACAAATTCTTGTTTAGGTTTAGCTTTATACTTACTGATAAAATCAAACATGGAGAATCAACGTCTAATTTTATGAGAACAAGAATCCAGAGAAACCCCTACCAGTTATAAGGAGTGTTTATTCTTATTAAACATGGGGAACCAATATGTAGTTTTACACTTTTGCCCTTTTATTTCTTTTGGTTTTCTTGTTTTATTTGTATTTCTATCCAATTTATGTAAAAGTTCTTTGAACTGCACTGTTGCTGAAAATGTGCTACATAAATAAGATTACAAACAGGCAAGGTCTATAAAACACTTTTATTTCATTTTCATGCCCAGATAATCATTATTGTGCCATAAGATTACACTGGACATATATGAGCATCAACCCTCCATAAAGTGATTTTATGCTTTAAAAGCTTTAAAACGCCTTTTCACAAGCAAGAGAAAGAAAGTGACAAAAAAAAAAAAAAAAAAAAAAACACTCAACGAACATTTTAAATACCCCTACCCGTAATCACAGTGAACTAACATCCCCAGTACATTTCATTTGCATAGTGTTTTTTCCTCAGAACATTTTCCTTATGACATCATAAACAGGTAAAGGTGAAAGGCACATTACATACAGCAGTGGAGAACCTGGCTCTGCTCTTCTGTACACACAGATAAAGACGGCATCTTTTGGCACCCCTTGTAAAGCTGAAAGAGCGCAGAAGTCTTAAATACATGATGATGATTAAATGTTGAGGAGACGTGGTGACCGAAGATCCTTCCATCAGTTCCACATTATTGCACATCTGCCTTGTGTATGAAAATGAGGTCTAAAGTTCCAGCATGTTTACTACGGGTCTGATGCTGTTATGGGATTGATACAACATGTACAGTGATTAATCCTGGCTAAAGTATGCAAACACTCTGTCTGCCCAGAAGAAGATTCTTTCATGTTGAATGCTCACAATACAAAAACAAATCAAGTCATTTCAGTCTACTTTCTAGTGCAAATATCTTAGTGCACAATAAATAAGACAAAACTAACCCATATTGAACTGTTGAGCAACATTTAGTAAATTGTTTAAAGTTAAGAATTGGCAGACAATTTCACCTTGAAGACATTTTTCCCATAAGTGAAATAATTTAACCACTTGGTCAGCTAACCAGGACCAGGACAAAGACTGTTATGTCTTCTTGTTTTTCACGTTGTGAATTGTGGCTGAGCAAAGTGGATCTCTCCACTGGAAAAAAATACAACTTAGAAAGTATTTTTTTCTAGTTTCTAGTGCAAACATCTTAGACCATCTTGGAAAACTTGAAATAAGACGAAACTTTAGCAAAATTCTTAAGAATTAGAAATTCTGTAATGATAATGAAAAAGTATTGGTTTCCCCAGGTTATAAGAGAAATAATCAGCCTATTCTGTATCAATATTTAGAACTTATTGACATAAAACAAGCTCACATTTCTTGCCGAAAATTTACATGCAAGTTAGTTTTGTCATATTTCAAATGTACAATATTGCAGAAATTCGACCAAAATACTTGGTAAGATTTTGTGTTTTTGCAGTGTGGGCTGCGTGTTTCACGCCAGGCAGACAAGAGATAAAGATGTCAAACATGATGAATTATAAATATTCACACAAGACAGTCAACTCAACACATAAGAGATAAAACTATGAATTCATACAAAATGTTTAGCTACGCATATTTTACAGTAGCTGTTGGGGATTTTGGTAAATACAACCCATCTTGAAAAAATATATCCTTCCTGAATATATTTTCAGGAACCTTTACATAAATATATTTAATGTAAAGGTTGGAAGTTTTTATTATTATTATTTGATTCTGCTGCTGCAATCACAGCTGCATTTATTTCAAGTTTTTTTTTTTTCAGATATATTATTTCTACAAGAGGTGTTAGTAATCGTGGAAAATGTACAGCGCCAATAGCGGGTCAGAAAAGGAACGAGGTGCCTGAGGCGCCGCGGTGATTTAGCACCGAAACGTCTGAACCTGAAGACTGTTAATGCACTTTGTGAAATCTGTAGGCAGTTTGGACTCAACTTGTAACAGCTGTAGCTGGAAGTGTTTCTTTAAAGGTCTCGGTATCTACAAAAAGCAACTTAAGTCGACGTTGAATATTACCCCGCAAAAACGCTAAATATTAGCAAGTATTTTTGGTCTAATTTTTAGTACATATATCTCAGTATGTTTGAAATAAGTGGAACCAAACTTACAATCAACTTTTCAGCAAGATATAGGGGCTTATTTTACATCAATAATTTCTTAATATTAATGAAAAGGTGCTAGTTCAATCTGGAAATTATTTCACTTATAACATAAGAAACATGTATTACTATAAGTGAAATAATCTGCCAGTGGAACTAGTACGTTTCAAAAACAAATATAAAGGAAGCACTGATTCAATCAAGCTCCTGTTTCTTGATGAAAAGTTACTTGTAAATTAGTTTTGTCTTATTTCAGGTCCACTAAGATATTTGTACCAGAAATTCAAAATGACTTGGTGATATTTTGTGTTTTTGCAGTGCTTAAACACAACGTCTGAGAAAGAAAAGAAAGCAGAGAGCAGCGTGTCGCCGCTGCGGCTGGTTGCAGGAAACATTCAGACGGTTCAGAAAACGTGTGGAAAAATATAAAAGTCTTTGGTGGGAGGAGCTGCAGTTTGTCTCCAGGCTTCGCAGAGGCAGGAGGATGGAAGTCAATCAAAGTTGATATGTTTGAAAAAATAAATATCTTCAAAATCTTTCTATAAAAAAACTGGGGGGAAACCCTTTGATTAATTAAACAGTACCTGAAAAGGCACTGACGAGGCTTCCTATTCCTCCAGGGGAACGTGGGACAGGATGGAGTGCTCCTGAGCGATGGCTGCCAGTTCTTTGAGGAACTCGGAGAAGAGGACCGTAGCGAAGACCTCCGTCTGATCCACAGAGATGTCTTTGGGTTTGGGAGGCGGGGAGTTCCTCAGCATCCTTCCTCCTTCGTACTGGCTGGACCCGCCGCTGCTGGTTTTATCTGCGAGAACCCAAAACAAACAGATGAACGTTTCAACGGAGCGAAAATGAAGGGAGTTCAATATTTTTAAATGATTCAAAAATCCTAAAAGCACACAGTAAACAGAATGAGATATGAGCTTTACAATTTTCATTGTTCATCTTTCTACAAACAAACACCCTGCTGAGATTTCTCAGTGTTTTCAGCTGTGAAGCTACAGAAGATCCAGTTCAAACGCCAGGCTGAAGCTCAGAAAGACGAGGCCTGGAGGAGGAGAAACCTGCAGATACACAGCCTGAAGAAAATAATCATTGGATCTGTTCAGACCTGTAAATGAGGCATCACTTCTTATTGCTGCTCTTGCTTTGGCACAGTGTTTTATATCATCACAATTATTCATGTTTCTGTTATTGCAGTTTTTTCTGTCTGATTTGTAACCGTTAGCTGTATTAGGCCATGATCAGTGATGAACATGAGTGACTTTAGAAGGAACTGAAGAACTTTTATTCCCAAATGTGTGCACTGTAAAAACATGAAAAATTATCAAGTAGTTCTGTTCTATTTTTCTGGTGCAAATATCTTAGTGTGCTTGAAAAAAAGACAAAACTAATGTGCAAGTAATCCAGGAAGAAATAGCAGCTTATTCAGTCAATAATTCCTTAATATGGATGAAATTTCTCATTGGCAGATTTCATTTATAATTTCACTGGTAGAACTCGTTCTTTTTCATAAAAACCGAATGAGTTTTTTTTAGTGCATTTCTTGTGCACTAAGATAAGAATCTAGACCAAAAATGTTTTTGGTCTAGATTTTCTGTTTATTCCCATGTGGTCCCCCTCAGAAGGGCACCCTGGGTGGAGAGCCACACTGCCTCAGTGCCAGGATATATTCATTCTGTCTCGGAAAAGTGGAATAATACTTCAACTGCACTTCTTCAGCTTGTTACAAATTATTGCTCATATTTTTGCTGTTTTGATAGTGAAAATGTACATAAGGAAATGAGCTAGACTAGATTATTCAGTTTTTGAGGCAGAAATCAGTCTAAGCTGAGGTTTGAGTTTACCTGTGGTGATGAAGGAGGCCTCCCTGGCCAGCAGCCAGTGCTGAGCCACAGTGATCAGCTCTGAGAAGTCCTTTCTGCAGGCGGCCAGCTCTTCTATCTGGTTCTTCACAGTCGCCAACACCTGACGAAAATCATTTTACTGAGAATCTACTTCACTTCCACATGATCAAAGGGTAGCCACGCTGCAAAAACACAAAACCTTCCAGTTGGTCTGGTTTTTAGTGAAATTATCTTAGTAAACTTCAAATAAGACAAAACTAATTTTCAAGTAGCTTTTCAGCAAAATAATGCAGCTTGTTTAACGTTGATAATTATATTGAGAATAAAAGTTCTACTTCCACTGGCAGATAATTTCTGTTAGATATTTTTTAATATTATCATTTTGTTGTTACTTTAGTTTATATTCAGTCTAAAGTATTATTGTGATTTTAGTATAAACTGACCTGGAGGTTACGACTGTCTTCATGCGAGTAAAACTTTATGGTTCTCAGACCTTATTCTCTGGTGTTTCTATCCGGTCTTAGGTGACAGTTTGACCCAGAGCTGAACTGGGCTCAGATTGTAAATTAGATATCACACCTGGAACTGAGTTGTTGGTCTGTTTGTGTTAAATGTTTTACGACCTCTGTTGTTTGATGCTTTGACAATAAAGAGGGAGCTCACGTGAAAGCAGATCAGAACTCTCTATTGAACAGCCCGGAGGAGCTGTTGATCGGGATTTCTCCTTCTGCAGAAGCCTGACCATATTTAATTCATATACGTTGTCTGTAGTTATTTTATTGTAGGTTCGAGGAAAATACCTAACAATTTCACTTTTGAACTTTTGTGTCAATATATAGGAATTATTAAGTTAAAACAAGCTCCGTTACACAAAGGCGTATTAGTGCCAAAGGACTATGAAAATTCCAAGTTTCCTTTGAGAAAAATTCTCCGAGATTAATCTAAAACTTTTTGTGTTTGTTCTTGAAATATTTCGACTTTTGCAGAACCAAAATTTTCTTGTTTTTTTCTAGAACTATTCTGAGAGGTTTTGAGGAAATTTAGTCCTTTTTTATATATCTACAATGGCCCTAACATGCTGTCATTGTTTTAAGTCAATAATTCCTCAATATTAACAAAAAGTACTAGCTGGAAGTGAAAAAAGCTTTTTGCATGTGCACAAATGTGTGTGTGTGTGTGTGTGTGTGTGTGTGTGTGTGTGTGTGTGTGTGTGTGTGTGGGGGTGTGTGTGTGTGTGTGTGTGTGTGTGTGTGTGTGTCTTACCTGGTAAAGCGAGCGGACGGTGGGCTGGAACACCAGGTTGGTGTTGAGCAGGAAGGAGCGGAGCAGCGGCTGGGGGTAAGCGGCCAGCTGGGCCAGAATCCCTGTCAGCAGCAGGTTGACATGAAGGCTGTTGGACAGCATGTTCTCCAGGCGGGACAGCAGCACGCTGATGAAGGGACCTGCAGGAGGAGCATTAGCTGCATTTGCTTAATGGAACACGCCAATTTCAGGGGAAAATAAAAACAAATCTTGTTTTTCAAAAAGTTAAAGTTTGTTTGTTTTTTTATTTGGATATTTCAAAATTGGTTTATTTCACAAAATAATGGAACCACTTTTTTGTTGCTTTTTTTCTTCATGAGTTACATAATGCACAACTGGATGTTGTCCCTGGTGCAATCCACAGAGCAGAAGGCAACAGGAAGTAATCGGATAATGATGGCGCTGCATGTTTAGTGAACAAACTAATAAAATAAAATAAAGTAAAATTTTAATAAGTTTGTACTTCCACCTACTCATTTGAATGTTTATCATTTATTGTATTACTGTCATTTTATTTGCATTTTACAACATTCAATAAAATTAAAAAAAAAAAAAATTACAAAAACAGCAATTGCTAAATTGTGTTTTTTAGGCAATAGTGAAATGTTTAAAAAGGCAGCTTCTTTGTGTTCCATGTTTTAGTCTTTCAAAGCTGCACACTGTAAAAACAGAAAATCCTACCAAGAAATTTTGGTAGTACAACTACCTCAGTACACTTTAAATACAACTAAATTAAGTTATAACTTTTGAGCAAGATATAGGAGCTTGTTTAAGTCACCAATTCCTTAATATTGATGGAAAAAGTATCAGCTCCACTAGCAAATAACTTGACTTAAAACCTGACATTTTCCCTTGTTATAAGTGAAATAATCTGCCAATGGAACTGATCATTTTTGATCAATATTAAGGAATTATTTTCTTAAAATAAGCACCTATATCTTTCTGAAAGGTTACTGATAAGTTAGTTTTGACTAACTTCAGATGTACTGAAATGAGACCAAAATTCCCTGGTGAGATTTTGTGGTTTTGCAGTGAGAGTCTGAACTGACCTGTGAAAGGTAAAGCGTAATTTCCTCTGCAGCTTCCACTCCTGAACCTCTGTATGGCCCCCACTGGAGATTGTGGCTTCTCTGACTCTGGAGTTTCAGCTGTAAAGGAAGTGAAGTCCATTTCTTCCTCCTCCTCCTCTTCCTCTGTTGCTGCAGTTTTCCTCACCTCTCCATCAGCCCTCGCCGGTTTCCCACCTGCCTCGCTGACCAGCGAACGGATCAGCTCCTCATACTGAGCTAGAAGATCCTCACTGGTGTTAGTGGCCTTCTGCATGTTCCCGTTGCAGTCAGTCTGACCTTTGACCTTGGCCTTTAAGCTGTTCTTTGCGCTATCGGCCGTCAGGGTTCTACTGAGCCCGTTCATCGGAGAGGCCGACGGGGCCTCGTCTAACGGTGGCGACGGCTCCATCTCTGAGGCGTCTTTCTTGGCGACCAGGTCGTACACCATGACGTCATCCTGAAAGTCGCTCTCCTCAGAGTACGAGCCTTTCACCAGCATGATGGCCGACCGCCTCATGTCCTGGATGTGCTTGGGGAGCGGCTCAGAGGAAGGTTTGGGGTCCAGGGTGGCCTCAGATTCCTGTACTGGACACGCGTCAAAGCTGTCATCCCACTCCAGCTCCAGCTGGGCGAAGGTGGGTACGGGGCGAGGCGGCGGCAGCAGCAGCGGCGGCGGTGGGGGCGGGACTCTCCTCTGAGCCTGCCGGCCATCCGGCGCTGGCTCCTCCAGGACGCCCGCCTGGTACCGCTCCGGAGGAGGGTTCTCGCCGTCGTACGGCGCCGACCACACACGGCAGGCCCGGATGCAGCTGCTGATGCTGAGGCGGGCGTCGTAGAGGTAATGCAGATAGCTGACGTCCAGGTAGATCTCTGAGCCGATGGTGCAGCGGTTCCCAGAACCGTCGTCCTCATCTGAGCAGCTGCCCTGCTGGTCTGATGACAACAGAGAACAGGCGGCCATTTTTATCCATCTTATTTTTTAGCTTTAATTGATAAGGACAGATGAAAATAAAATACACAAACTGAAGAAAACAGCAGTTCATGGACCATGTAGTTTATTAATCTTGCATATTTAAAATGTCTTCCAGTTCCAATGTTAAATGTTTAATAGAATTTAAATTTTATTGATTCTTCAGAATGTGTTCTTGCATTATTAGGTCATTACCATTACATTACTTGAAAATGGTCTCAAAACAACAACATTCATTCTAACAACTTCTGGGACAATTTATCGTCTGGCAAAATGTGTTACAGTGGCAGGCCTGGTCCCATGACTGTATAATGGTGCTAATAGCAGGAGCTAATTTGTAGCCCTTGTCTGTAGTCTGGATGTTCTAAAAGCTACTGTGAAGTAAAATAGTAGTAATAATGTAAAATAATGAAACATGATATTGACAAAATATACACAATCATGCATATAAAACACAGAAATTAGAAACATGACAATATAAACAAACATTACATATGAATGTATTGTTTTTGTTTGTTTCTTTTGAACATACTGAAGACTTTAAATTGACAGGAAGTGAGTTCCAAATACCGGATCCTCTCACAGAGAGAGAGAGAGCATTTTGGACAAAAGTGGTAAGTATGGAATTACATACTTATAGTTACCAATGTTACCGTTTTAAATAATAACAATAGTAATAATAATAGATTTTTTATTGCATTTTTATGCTGAAGTTTTTACAGGTGGTGTGACATTTTGCAGCATAGTATTTCTACAGGACAATACGTCATCAGATTACACCAGCAAGTACTGATATTAGAAAATCATTTGTATTTTTGAATACTTTAGTACTTTCATGAGTACATTTTGGAATAAATCTAATGAACTTTTACTTGCAGTTGAGAAAGATTTAATCATGAGTGTCAATACTTTTACTCTAGTCCTGAGTAGTTTGTCCCCCACTCTGTTTAATAGAACTACTGCAGAGCGGAAATAATGAGTTTGACATCGACAGCAGGGGGTAAAGTGATGGAACAGAGCGGAGCAGCAGGAGGTCTTTGTGTCTGGTAATACACACCACCATTTTCCTCCCTGATCTACACTGCAGCTACATGCAAATCACCACCTGACACACAGTCCTCCATGATCAGTTATATCTCATTTTTATACTCCTGGCCTCTCTGCAGTTCATTTCCACAACATTTAACATCCCGGCCGCATTACTGCAACATTCCTAACACAAATATGGCCGTGTTGCAGATTAAGGGGCTTTAAAACGTGTCTGAAAAGCTTTCGTTCATATTGACTTCATAAGGAGCTTTATGCTGGAGGAAAGCACAATGGCTCCTCAGGAGAGTGGAAATAAACCCACCAAGAGGCTTATGCAGGATTAGGGGACATTCTGTCTTCACAATGAATACCTGCTGGGCATGTCCACTTCTAGTCTTTACCTCAGAAAATAATTTTGTATAATATAGTCAGGTACAGAGAAAAACTTACTGAGGACTTTTTATTCCTGCCTAGGAATAAACTGAACAATATCTAATGAAACAAAAGTCATCTGTCATGTTTCTGTAAGATTTTTTAAAAAGAACATTGTAGATCAGAAACATAAAGAGGATCTTGCATGTTCACACTTTTATAAAAAGGAAATTATTGTCCTCCATTTTTGTTGGTGTAGTTGTTTACAGAATAGAAAAATCATTGGTGGCATGAACATTATTTTACATATAACTGATCAATACCTGGAAGAGTTTTAGTCTCAGACATGTAGTTTTAAATATGTAGTTTCAAATGTACACCATGAATAACTTCCATACACTCCTGAGCTACCTGTGTTGCTGGAGTTGTTTGGAGTTTCCCCCCCCTTGGAAAAGAGGATGGACTCCAGCTGGCGGAGGGGCGGGGGGCTGCGGTCCGGGGAGCAGCAGGACGGCGTCAGTGCCAGGATTTTGGCTGCAGATCCTGAGTAGAAATCCCTCTCCCTCACCACTCGTCTCTGACTCAGCATCATGTGGTTGCAGGGGATCAAGTATCTGCAGAGGCAGGTGGGAAGGCGAGTCAGGAAAACCCGGGCGGTTGGGGGGGCTTCGAGAGAGGGGACGGCAGAGAGATAATCCTGGTGGGAAAAGCTCATCTTGTCATAAATGAGGTGAAGCTCAACACATGAGCCACTCACTTGAGAACGAGCTGCAGCATCACATCCTCGCAGTAGAGGCCGATCAGAGTCCGAAAGAGCGCCAGGGACACAGTTCCCAACTGGAGTCATTGTGAAAACATATAGACACAAAAAAGGATGAGGAAAAAAAATCCATCTGATTTGATCTATTTAAAGGGGCAGTGAGGGGCAGTGTTATGAGGCTTCCAGATAAATAGTGCCATTTTGTAACACAATCAAGTAACTATGTTGACTTCAGTTGTCATAAAAATGCTCCCTATATCAAACATTGCTTAAAAAAAATTTTTGACTTTGTACTTTAACACATCAAAATTGGTCCTCTGTCTCTTTAAGAAACTCCTACTCTTTCTGAAACTCAACATTTCACTGAGAAGTAGACGGCTGATGTGGAGTTCCACCAGGTGTTTACTAATTTCTACTGACTAGTCTGAAGGATCTTCATCCTCGAAGGCAGAGCTTGGTCCATTTAGATGTTTTGCACAGCTGAATGGTTGTTATGGGAAGTAAAAAGGATTTCTCAAACATGCAGAAAAGAATCAGAGTAACAGTCTAGGTATGTTTGTGTTGAATGAATAACATTATAACATGATTTGAAGCTCAATAAAGTCAATTTAAGATATTACTGCCCCTTTAAAGCCAACTAGAAGAGGCAAATTTTTTTTGTTGTTGTTGTACTGGGAATTCTTTTGTTCTTTAAACATTGGTTGCTTTTCATACAATTAATAATGTCATACAATAAAGTCCCAATATCCCAAGTTTGGGGCTGATGGGTCATACTGTTTACATTAAATAAATGTAAAAGAACATTTCTAAAATAATAATTAAAAAATGAACATTTCTAAAGAAGACAAAGAATGTATGGATGTGGTGGTGTACCTGGAAGGGTGTGTTGATGCGGCTGACCAGCGTGTCAAGAATGTAGACGCCCTCATGCTGGTGGAGGAGGAGGAAGGAGAGGAAGGTTTGCAGCAGGGCCGGCTCGGTCACGCTCCTCAAGAAGAGGTCAAGGTATGCTGTGGTGGTCATCACCTCCTCTAGAGTCAGCTGCATAGAGCAGAAATTGGCATAATCCAGATAACATGTACAAGTTAAAACATAAGTCCCCTGCTTTGTCATCCAGAACCAGTGACATGGTGATGAGAGAAAACAACAGACCTTGTGCAGTGCTGGTGCAAGGACAGGTACAAGGAAACCATTATAGATATAAGCCAACAGCTGGTCTCTGATGGTGTGATGGGCGACCTGGAAACAGCATCAACAGGGACATTATGGAAACACTATCCATCAGGTGAGACCACATGTTTGTACGAAGAATAAAAACAGAAATGTATTTTGATTTCCTGGTCTTTAAAGGTGGCCTATTTTTTAAATTGATTTGGCAGCTTTAGAATCTGTAGAAACCCAAATGGACATAGAAAAACCTACAAAACCAGACTTTTGTGGAAAAGGTCTTCTTTAACCCTTCATGTACAATTTGTCCTGTTGTGCATTATGAACAAGAGTATTGAATTTAAACAGCAGCCGGGAAGGTTTGAGAGGACCATCCCACACAGAAACCCCCACACAGACTCCACCCCACAAGCTCACCTGGATCACAGCGTTGCAGAATTCCAGTGAGTTGAGAAACTGGACCAGGGACGGCATCCGGAGCCACTCCTCCTTGTGAAGGCAGTGCCACTCCTCGGTGGAAACCTCCAGCTTGGTGGGAAGGGATGAGTACAGCCCACTCAGTCCAGTGGCCAACACCTGGGAGAAAGCATACTATGAGAACTGGGACCTTCAATCCCAGATGCTTTCCATTCTTGGTTCCAGTTATGCAGTTTGTATCACCTACATAATACTTAATACTTCCCCTTAAAGTCAATAAAGAGGCAGTAATCTGATTTTTCCAGGCACATAGTGCCATTTTATAGCATAATGATGTAACTATATTACCTTCAGTTGTTATAAAAATGCTGTATATATCAAATTTGATTTAAAAGAAATTTGACTTTGCAATTTAGCACCATGAAATTGGGCCTCTGTCATTTTGAAAATATCTACTCTTTCTGAAACTCAGCCTTCAGAAAGTCATCATAACCTGGCTCCTCTATTAACCCTTTAACAATGTTCTCAACAGTGTTTTGCTGCGAAATAGCTTATATAATGAGCTCAACAGATGCTCATTTCCACCAGGTGTTTGCTAATTGTTGCTGGCTAGTCTGAAGTAGCCGAATGTGGGATTCACAGGAGAGGGCTGCTAGGTGAGGGGGATACTCAGAAACCACAGCTCTGAGGAGGAGTTTTGTCCTTGAAAGCAGCAGTAGTTGAAGATAAACACAGGAGACAAGCACAGCTGAATAGTTACCGTGGAGATTAAAGGATTTCTTAGAGAATCAAGGCAACACTCTAGGTATGTTTTTTATTATGGAATAACATTATAACATAACATAAATCTCAGAAAACTAAATTTTTCCTTTGGATGAAAAAGTAGTTTCAGGTGAAATAATCTGTCATAATAATTTTTTTCCCTTTACTTCACATATAACTGCTATTTTTCATCAATACTAAGGAATTATTGACTTAAACAAGCTCTTGTTTCTTGCTGAAAACTTTCAGAAACTAGAGCACTAGAACACTTGGTAAGCCTTTGTGTGTGTGGGTGTGTGTGTGTGTGCGTGGTGTGGGAGCCTCACCGGACAGAAGAAGGTATTCTGCGAGACGTGCTTGGCCACCCTCTCATCCTCGGCAGACAGCGACATGATGAGCAGCAGGGCGTCTCTGGCCTGCTGGCCCACGGGGCCCTCCCTATGGATGAAGGGGATGAGGAGGGAGAAAATGAGGAAGTTGGTGGCCCCCTGGTCTTCGCTGGTGTGGAAAAACAGCTCCAGAATGGACGGGTCCTTCGCCAAAACGCAGCAGAGCTGGTGGAGCAGCAGCACCAGCTCTGCCTCCACTGCTGACGCCGCCGCGCCCGAGCAGGACGACAACAGCATCATGAGGGGCCGCAGGATGGGTTTGTGATGCAGCAGCGGCTGTCGCGCCTGGCCCACCAGCATCTCGTACATCTTCAGCTGCTCCAGCTTCATGTCATCGGTGAACTCCCTACGGAGGCTCCACACGAACAGGCGCTCCATCACGTTCTCCAACACCACGAACTCCAGGATGGGCCCCATGGCGCCCTCTTGGCCGCTCTCCTCCTCCATCAACAGGAAAAGCATGTGCTCCACGTAGTTTTGCACGGCGCTTGCCTCGTCCCCCGGGATGGGACCGAAGCGGGGGCCTCCCGCTGCCCCGGCACCGAGGCCGATGACCCCCAGCGTGGAGCTACTGCGCAGCGGGTCATGCTTCTCCAGGATCTTCACAACCTGCAGGAAGGAACCCAGAAACATTCTGTTGGTGGGACTCTGAAGAATATTCCTGGCTGTTTTAGCGGCGTCTCAGTTTACACACACCAGCTGTTAAATGAAGAGACTTTGATTTAACCCAGGATGCTGATCTGTAGGTGAGCTTTATCTTGACACTTCCAGATACTACAACTGGAAGAGTTGTGTTTTCCTTTCGCTCTATGAAAACATCATAAAAGTGGTAAAACAAAAAAACAAAAAAAACTATGAATAAAGGGAAGGAAAAAATGATGGATGATCTGCTCTGATTTGGACACAGAAGGGTCACTTTATCTGAGTCTGTCTGTTCTACAATGTCCACCTGAAGCAGTAAGATGCTTGCAGAATTTCTACCTTCTGTTTGAAATGTGTCTGTCAGGTGGAAACCAGGTGGAAACTGGGTCAAAAAGAGTGGAATATGAATGGAAACCAGTGAGAACTGGTGGAAACCAAGTGGAAGTGGATCAAAAACGGGAAGACAGCAGTAGAAACCAGTGAAAATGGGTGGAGAATATTTGGAAACAGGTGAAAACCAGGTGAAAACGAGTTGAAACAGGTGAAAACCAGGTGAAAACAGGTGGGAATCGGGTGGAATCTGGGTGGGAACTGGTGGAAACAGACTATGCTGTACAAATAAAGTTAGCTCTGCGGCTCAGAAGAAAGCAGCTTTTGTTGCTGGCAGACCCTCCCATGTGTGTCCACTGGGTGGAAACCAGAGTCACAATAATGGGCCCAGTGTCCCCAGCTTGACACTGTTGCCATGACAATAAGTGGTTGAGTGTGAGAGAACTGGGCAGAGCTTGTGGAAGCTTAGGAAGAGTTTATCCTCCCAGCCGCAGCGTGATGGACATGATTGACCCGATGGGTCTGATGGACCTCATGGGTCCCTGTGGTTTGGATTTTGGGGCTCATCTTTGTCAAGGCCTGTACGTCAGCAGGGAAGCATGAGTTGGTTTATGTTTATTTGCTGAAAATCAGCGATCAGGACTGAATTCTTATCGTTTTTAAACAAAAGGAGGATAATGTATTGAACTTGTAATGTTGTAATGTCTTTTTTAAAATGTTATTTTCTTCATCACTGACGGAGGAGCATTATGAAGTCTGACCGCTCTGGAGGAATTTGGTTTGTGGTCTTTGGCTCCATCAGAGCGGACACCAATATGGAATGTTGGAAACAAGGCTTAATAGATTTTCACTCAAAATGTTAGTGGAAAAGTACAAATACTTAGGACATGCGTTCTCATCCAGAAAACGTTTCTTTATTCAACTCATCTATTTTATCCCTACTTTATGAATTATTTTGACTCTTCTTCATCCCTCTTTCTAACATCATTTCATCCCCTTTTACTCCTCTTCATCCGTCTCTTTCTCCTAATCCATTTTGTATCAACAGACAGTGGCTCTGTGCTCATTAAACAGCTCTGAGTTTTCACTGAGTCCCTAAACAAGTTCTGCAAATGGGTGAGTTATGGGTGTTGGCACAACAGTATGAGTCACATGGCCCTGGTGTCAAATTCCTGAGTTCTGCCTGTTAACTGTGTGTGAAGCTTTGTAATTCAGAGATAGATGCTTCAAGAAATAGTTTCATCTTACAAAAAACCTGGTTTTGACATTTTGAAAATACATTTGCTTGATGGAAACCTGCCAATTTGGAAAAAAATTCATTTGTTGATAAAAAGTTTTTGCAACTAGAATTAGGTGGAGGGGTTTTATGGTCATATTGAAATTGGTTTATTTTGAAAACCTGCAATGGAAACACTTTTTCACAGCATGAGTCACATGATTGAGTACTGGATTTTGCCAATCACAAAGAACACTACAGGAAGTAGTTGGAGGGTGCATCATAATTTTTAATATCTTATCGCATGAAAAAACTCATTCGCATGTAATTTTAATTGCATTTCTTAATTAATAAAAATCACAAAAAGGTATTTTTTTTTCAACCTTAGTGGAATATTGACAAAGTTAAGTGTACATTTGGAATTTAAACATAGCTAATGTCAAACATTTTGGAATCCATTCTTTAAATTTAACCTTAAGGAACCCTAAAACTGGTATGGAAATGTTTTCTTTGACTTCCGTGATTTTATGTGTTTATATGTGCTTAACTTTTACAGAATGTTTTACATTATTGTTGTATGTCACTGATACATACAAGATTGTATTTGGTTACCTTCCCACAATGGGAGGGACTGACCAGTTTGATTAGGTTTAACGTGAAGGAGAAAGATAAATCCAGTCAGATTTTCATCCGACTGCATTTCAAGCTGCTGTTATCCTTCCACTGACATAAAAACCTTCATATGAGGTTAAGTAAAATTGGTGTTGTCGGGAGTTTCATGTGCATCTGCTGACCTGTGCATCATGTGCATCTCCATTTAATAAGAAGAATACAAACTTTGAAGCTTTAACCACACTCCTATCAAGACTAAAAACCCACTTGTTGCTTTTGAACCATAATCAATGAAACATTAATCAACAAGCTGATGTGTAACAATTGCACAAATTTGTAAAAGTTCCATACTGCAGCTTTAAAGCTTTCGGAAAACAGAGACTGGAAATCCAGCTGGAATAACAGCCACAACATCAGTCTTCATTTAACCGACACAGCCAAACCCTGGAAAAGGAAAGTTCTGGCAACAACAGAGAAAATACAGACTAAAAAGAAAACGCAGCTCTAGTCGGAGATGTTAGGGACCACACTTAGTTCCTATCAGACTTCTGCGTACCTTGACCAGTCTCTTTCAGGCAGGACGGAGGGAGGAGGCCCAGTTCAGCTAAAAGTTAGCAGCCCTGTTGGTCCCACAGGGGTAAACATGGCGCGTTAGAGAGCCAAGAGCCAGAGACAAACTGCTGCACGCTGCCAAGATTCCAGCAGCCCTCACCACTGAGGTTTACTGAGGTCACTTTTTACTCTCAGGCTTGGAGGCGGCAGCTAAGCCTTTCAGAACGACTCACTCGGCCGCTGTTCTTATCGCCACGCTTCGAGGAAAACTGGACAGGACACAAGGAACTGCATTCAGCTATGTCTGATTTGTAGATTTCTTATTAAATACAAACCGTTATTGTGGGAAATATGACAGTTTTGATGATTAAATTAATATGTAGGCGGTTGGTCCATTAGAAGCTTTCAGGCCTTTAGTAAAGCTTAAATTTAGATGAGCAGTTCAGAGATGTTCTTTTTCATTCCCACATTTATTTCAGTAATGTACTGGTTCATTTCAACAAACCAGACCACCATCCAAAAGTTAATTAAAAGAAAACTTTTATATTACTGCACTGTACTATGTATTCATGACAAGCAGAGCAATATAAATTATTTCTGCTCATTTTAATAGTAAAGAAGGGAAGCCAAAAAAAAAAAAACATTATTTCCAAAAAAGATGGATGTTCACTCTGCGAAAGCCAAGCATATCAATGGAAAGTTAGTTGAAGGAAAAAGTATGGGAGAAACATAACATTGTTGGAGCAATAAAAGGGGTTATTCCATTGTTGTACTCTACTTTTCTGGAAAAAACAATTTTGTGTTTTTATTGACATGTAAATAACTCACTCTATGTGTAATAATTTCACATAACATATTAATTAGATTTGATTTTTGTTGAATTACTGAGCTAAATTTACTTCTTTAAAACTGTATAGTTTATTGGGATGCAGCTGTAAGCCTCCTAAAACTTCTGGCGCCTTACCTGAGCCCAGTGGTTCTTGAACACAATCATGCATGTCTCTGGGTCCACCCCTTTCAACACCAGAGACTGCCCATCTTTGTTTCCATTGGCAACCACGGAGGCCATTATGGACGCCAGATCACGTGGGGTTAGTCATGTCACACAGAGAAGATGCCTACTGGGAGCCTTCAGAGCCAAGGGAAGTAACAACAGAAAAACCTATAGGGAATGTGGAAAGAGAAAACACAAATACCCATCATCACTCACAGAACTGCAACATCTTGGTTCATAAAACAGCAGAAATGCTGGAATGATATGACAATGTTGAGTCGGGCAGGCTGGCCCCCGTCTTAACCTCTGCCTGGCTGGGAAGCATCTATGATAGGCATGCAGGGAGGAGAACAATAACAGGCATAGTGACATGACGCAACAGAGGAGAGACAGAAATTCATCGTCCCTGCTTTGCTGCTCCCTGGACTTCACACCAAGCTGTCAAACAGTTTTAATTCCTCAGAGGTCCAAAGCGGATTCCTGCAGGCCCTCTGACATCCTTGCATTACAGAGAAAATTTGACGTCAGACAGTAAACAGGCTCTGGCTTTAAAATCCTCTGGATGCAAGTAGCACACTCACTGGGAGGCAAAGAGATGTGGACAAGCCCCCACTCCTCCCCAGAAATGAGCTGATTTAAGTTAAGTTTATACAAGACTGTTGCCTGGAAATTTTCTGATATTGATTGGGAAAAAGTTCCACGTTTAGACATCACAGCCGAAACACAGAGTCAGCTGTAGTTATTATGGCAGTCCACTATACAGCACTGTGATTTTAGCATGTTGTCAAACAGCACATGTGACCGTTAGTCCCTCACCTCAGGAATTGCGTTTCCAAGATTGCGCAAATTGAAATTGCAAAAATAAATTTAAATCAATTTTGAAAAAACAAATTTTTCAATGAAAAGATTTTGTTTGGGAACTATAACGCATTTACAACTTTATAAACAGCACAAAATAGGAACCAGGAAACCAACCAGTTTACCATTTCCAGCCAGAATTAACCAAAATATTGTTGATCCTGACACAGACTCTGTAGCTGTAGTGCCTCTTACAAAGGGACATTTGACCAAATATTGGCAGAGCATACATAGATCTATATATATTTGAGCCTGTGTATATAATTACAAACATTTTAGTAATTATTCCACCCTAAAAAAAGAACAGTTGACATAAATCGTTAAAAGGGACAAAACTTTCCAACTATGAGTGGAGGCAATCTCCTGACCACAACTATAGGCTGAAAGAAAATCCCCCAATGAGAGACGGCGGTAAACACTCGCTGTCCATGGAGCAGCACGCACATGTGCAGCAGATCAACCACAGGTCACGCTGCAGCTGCACAAATTACAGCCTCTGGGTTCCAACCTTAAATTAGGAAGAAATCACAACTTATCCCTTTTCCGACATACTGACTTCACTGACTTCCCCAGAACTAGAGACAAATCCCATCATCCACAGAAGTTACTGTAATAAGGTACAAACTTTTGCCATCTGCTTTCAGTTAGAGCGTGAGGCTCCGCCGGCTGGATCCTTGACAAGGAATGTAGGCGCAATGAGGAGAGAGCGCGAACCACTGTATGTCTCCTACCTCTCTGCGGCCATCTTTAGCAGGGACGCTCCGCTAGGCAGGCAAGGACCTCATCCTCGTTCTGTTGACACAGCAAAGAAATATGGAGATGTGTGAAGGAGAGGCGAGGCGTGATGGGAAGTGATCTGACATGAGTAAGAGCTGCCTGGATGGAGATGGAGAGGAGGAGGTTTTTGGAAGGGAGGGGTCAAAAAGTGAAAAACAGGTTGAGAGGAAATCTACAGAGAAGGACAAAACACTGTATGCAGCACATTCACATGTTTATAATTCCACCAAAGGGGCATTATGTGTATTTCAGCCATATAGAATAATTTTACAGCACAATTAAGTAATTATGTTACCTTTAGTTGTTATATAAATTATATAATCAAATGTGGCGTAAATCACACAAGTCACATGATCAACAACCAGATGTTTCCACTGGTGCAAACCACAAAGAAGGCAACATAAAGTAGTTGGCACAGCATGTTTTTAGTGACTTATCGCACATACATATTCACGTCTAATTTTAATTGCATTTTTAACTTAATGGAAAAATGACAATTGAGAAATTGTGGGGGTTTTACACTGGCGAAATATTGACAAAGTTTTGCGCACAATTGTAATTGGGAACGCAGATACTGAGAAGCAGCTCATCTAATGAGCTCTTTGCAGACACATCCTGTTTTGTCATCATGGTATTAGCTAATTACTGCTGGCTAGTTCGGAGGAGCTGAGTGGGGGAGTAGCGGGTGATGGGTGCTCTGTAAGACGTTAGCTCGGTAGTTTGGAAGCTGAGGCTCCAAAGACAAGCTTCGTCCTCGTGCAACGTTCACATACGTGTTTAGCACTACTGAACGGTTGCCATGGGTGTTTTGAGAAAGGATTTCTCAAAGAAGCATGAAAGAATCAAGCTAACACTCTGCGTATGTTTTTGATGAGGGAATAACTTTATAACACAATGTAAAACTCAAAGAAAATTATGTGACCAGTCAGTTTAATGTTGACATCCTTATTGGATAACCATGGAGCCCAAGTCCTTCAGAATATTACACCCATCCTTTCTAGCACCAAATCAACAACCCTTAGGGTTTCTTTTCATCATGGATGACAGTCATAGCGAGCTGCTTAAAGCGGTTTCCTTCATTATGTTGCTCCTTCAGAGTAACAAAACCAAAAAAAGTCTCTTGATTTTCTTGGAAAGTTTCTTGTGCCGGCTGAAGGTGTGGGGTTGTGCAAACAGAGAGTGAGAGTGAGACGAATGGAGGGAGGAGGTGCTGCATGTGTATGTGCTAGTGGTTACGACTCACCCCCTTCAAGAGCTGCTTTTATGTCTTGCTCGGGACCAAACTCACAGGTTTTCTTCACCTAAGCAGCATCACCTCTCAAAATCAACAAAGGCTCCATTTACTAAGTGATCAGTTTTGTTTAAATACACATAACTGTTTGGTTTAAATTAGCACAAGGAACAGTCTCAGAGAAGGATAACAAACAGCTGTTCTTGTTTGCACTTTGTCATCTAACCTTCTGTCATCTGGGAGATCAGAAATATCGTACAGTAGAACTGCACCACTGCCCAAAAGTACCAAGAAACTGCTGTAAACAGCAGGGATGAGACCTAATTTATGTTGTGAAATCTTTTGGCATATGTTCAAATATGAATTATGTTTTTTTTTTCCTAGCTTAGTTTAACCCCCACCCAGCTGCTTTTTACGCAACAAAAGCCTTGTAACAGCTCAGATGTGCCAGAGAGTTTCTCCTTTCAGCAGCCAGTCGGGCTGGAAGCTAAGCTGCACCTCAGCTGAGACCGAGCAAAGCTTTCACAACTCCACACGCATTCTGACCATTTTCCAGGAACTGAAGTTTCTGTTATCTAAGAAAAAAGAACTTATTTCACCAGTGCCTTGACTTGTATTTAAAAGAGAACGATATTTCATAGGGGGTAGGGATTTGTTGTATTGTTCATCATTTATTATGATTTCTTATGGTAAGAATATGCTTTCACTATGGATTTTTACTAATGATGGTTAGTAAAAACCAAAAACATCCCCAAAAACTGTCCCTATTGTGAGGATTGATAGTTTGTCTTTTTTCTACACTGTTTGTTCATGCAGCTTAGTGTGATATTTATCACACTGCTGTATGTGAATTTTGTCCTAAGGAAGCACATTACATTTGGGAATCAAGATCTTTTACGTGTTTGTGGGGCTGTAATTACTGTGACAAACACTCAGTTACCTAAAAAAGAAGTAGTAAATATGCTACCTGCTATGGCTCCTATGTCATCACAGATTGTCTATTGTTTTTACATCTAGTCCCAGATGATGTGCTTTTCCACCCTAGTTTTATGTTGAACCCAAATCAGCTTGTTTCCGAAACACCAACGCAAGACAAACTTGATAAACTCATCCAGCCTTGTTGATCACAGTTGTGACTGTGACAGTGTGAAAACATTTAGGCAAGTTGCTTTTTTACTTGTAGCCATTGCTTCATTAATAAATTTCAACACATATTTACCTCCATCTGATTTCATTTTCTCCTGTCTAAGCCATTTTGAAGAGTAGCTATGAGTTCACTTTTACTAAAAGGCAAGTCCAATACAAAGATGTGACACAAGTCTAGAACAGATAGAAACTACCTTTGAATTAGATATTTTCTTTTACATTTTATGTTATTAATTTAAATAAATTGTTTTTCATCTAAAGAACTGCACCCAAATTTCTTTACACAATGTTTTATTTTTAGAATAAGAATAAAGAGTCTATTCTATTCAGACAATCTGATCAGTTTTTTAAAACCTTTATATGAATTAAAGATGCTAGGTTTACATTTATTTGTACAGAAATTGATAACAGTGTATTGGATTGCAACACTGGGGAATTCCAGAGAAACAATGTTTAGTTCTTTTTCCAAATTTAAAATACTGCAGTCAGAAGAAAAAATGTGTGCAGAACTGTTTTTGAGCATTATCAGCATAATCATTCCAGCTGTTACATTATAGGATCAAGCAGATTGTCTTTTTCAGTCCGATTCAGCTGCTGGCGAGGATTAATAATTACTTTTCATAAAGGTGTGAAATTAAATAGTAAAAACAAATTTTAAAATTTGTAAACAATATAGGATTTTCTTACTTCCAACAAAACCGTATACATACCCAAATGTAAAGGGATGCAGTGAAAGAATGAGGCCTGGCACTGCTTTCACACATGGTGACATCACTCACACCATCTGCTGCTTTTCTCTGTGTAAAGTTTCTACTAACAGAAAATCAATATTCCCATTAACTTGAAATGAGCTCGTTACAAGCAGACAGACGGTCGCAACAGGCAATTAGGTTTTTACCAAAATATATCACCCTCTCACCCAAAACTAAACCCCACACAGAGGCTGCTGCAGGCCCACGCAGTGGGAACTCTATTCCTGTTGGGATTGCATAATGAGCAGCACTCCCTGACATGAGATCAGCTTTGAAAGGATTAGAAGAGCAGATAAAAAAATCCAGACTGATGCCAAGTAAACACTGTGAAATGAAAGAAAGCTCACCTGGAAGGCTTTTATCTCTTTCTGTTTCCCTGATCAGGTTTCCGGCTTTGTCTGTCAACCCAAATGGATTCATAAAGGTGTGGCGAGGACGAGTAGCTGAAGGGCAGGACACACCTTTTTCTCATGAAGACACTTGAGCTTTCATGTTAAGCAAGAAAGCTTTAGCCTCTCAGATGATGAGCTCAACCTCACACAAATGTTTTCTATTATGGTTTGAAATAATTTTCTTTACCTCTGAAAACAAGCTGTCCACACAACGTCTGATGGGATTTTTGTTTTTTGGTGGGGGAGGGGAAGGGGTTTGGCACTGTCTTGTCTTTGGAGAAACTGAAAATGTCTGTGAATAAATTCTGAGTATTGTTTTAGCTTCAAGACCAAATCCCAGTGGAGGATTCACTCCATCTTCAATATGAACTCAGTGTGAAATTAGGTTACATTCAAACAGTGGCTGAATGCGACAAAGTCCAACTTCTCTGCCCAAATGTGTTCAATGTCTGACTTTTTTATTTACCCAAATATGACCAATATCCGACTCTTTTTACCAAATGTACCACTAATGAAACTAAGTTGGACACCAACTAATAAGTTTCAAAGTGTCTGCAGTATGAACTATCATATTGCATCTTGTCTGACTTTTACGTCATTGATGTAATTACATGCATCGTAATTCTGCACCAAAAGAAACCAGGCGTGGTAAATCTGGATGCATCAATGGCTGAAAATTGAAATTTTGAAATCCTGAAGGAAGTCTGTCAGTGAAGCACATCACAATCCCACCACTCTTGCTTCTTTCAACACATCCAGACACTACACAAGCTGCAGTCACTGCTCCAGAGAAAGCTATTGCTGTTAGTTGTAGTTTTCTTTTATTAGCTTCCTTTTGTCTTGTTACGATCTTGTGGCGATGTCGGCTCCCGGTACTCTACAACTTTAAAATCCATCAAAGACACCAAAAGGCCAATGGTGTCACGTTTAAGCAACTGACACCAGAGTCACCATCACGTTGGTTAGTAGGCCATGCTTTCTGCTGGGAAACACGTCAATCTGATCTACACAAAAGCCAACAAAACCTTTCCTAAATAGACTGTCTAGAACTCTAAAAATATGGGTCTCATCTAGTCGTAGACCTAAAAGAAATGGGAAGGACACATACATCTTTCAGCTCCGTGGCTGAGGTTGTTGCTGGCCGGTGGAAAATTTACCAGTGACCATAGCAACCGTAAGGACAAACATGTCCTTTAAACAGATAGCAGCTGCTGAAATATTCAGGTGGAGCTGAGAGGACGGAGGGAGTGAAGCCTCTGTCTTTATAGAACCCAGCAGGAAAGAAATGGTTCTGATCTTTGCTGCCTTCAGTCTGACCCCATGACCCTACATTTACCTTTTGAATTGTTTATTTTAATATTTAATCAGAATCTTCTTGTTTATGTTGCAGTAGCAAATGATAAAAATGGTGCAGTAAAGGCTTCCAAATATTAATTTTTAATAATCTGCCAGTTCCTCTAAACAGACTGTTTAACAGGTTGTAAAACACAGAAC